GCACCCTGATTTGCTGCCTAAAATCTCAAAGGGCATATTTATCCTTAAAATGAAAACTGTTATGAAGTATCATCATTACAGGGTACACCCTAAACATGTGCTAGCACAATTTGTAATGATTTAAGTTAAAAATCTGTTCACTTCCATTTCTACCACTTCAACATGTAATTTATCAAGAATAATAAATAATAAAACTGAAGACATAAGATAACAATACAACAAAGCTGACAAAGGTATAGATGCATAACTAACAAAACAGATAGAACCAATTAATTTAAAACTGTCTTTAAGTGATGAACGTTAACCAGTTAATAATGAAAGCGCAAAAAAATGTTTTTCTCAGTTTTACGCAATATGCTTAGTAGCATATGATCACTACCATTTATACTGTTTTTCAATTACTGTGGACATACAAAAATCCATCTGGCACAGGGCTTCAACCCATGAGAATTTAAAATTACAATTGAAAAATGCCAGTTATTGAGAAAAAAACGAAATTTAAATAGTCCAACTAGAATGGTCTTAGAACATGATAATGAGCAGTATTTTAGGGCGTATTCCCAGACATTTAGATCGATATATCCCCGTGGGGAGTCTCACTAGATTACTGTCAGATAATCCGGCTTAAATGTCCGTCCCGCCTACTACAAGCTGTAAGGGGGTAATTAACTTTCGTGCCCACTCGGCTGACAGCTATTTAGCGTGAACCCCCAGATAGTTAGGTTGATCTAGTTTGGATCGATCTAATCTCTGGGAATGGGGTCTTAGTCTTATGCATCATTCCTGTAAGTTTGACAATGGAGACACCTATGGTGACTACAGACAGGCAATTGCTATCTGCCCAATGGGGTTCATAATGCAACTGCTAGCTCATGACACACCAGGATATATATTGCCAATTTAATGAACAAAATAATTAAATAGCGTACCATCTCCAAACCTCTCTTAAGCAGAAACCTTTTCCTAATCCTGGCTGACCTGGGAAAGTTGAGCTCATAACACAAAGTTGGTGCGAACATGAAGTAGTATATATCTGAAACAGATTTATAACAAATAAATCTTTGAAGAATGGCTGCATTCCGAACAGTGGACTAACTAGTCTGCAGGTCAAATATGGTGACCCACTAAAAAGCTTGCCATCTTATCTGCTAAAAGACACTGAATGGATTCCCCGTCAGGAAGTATTCAAGTGGGTCTGCCATATTTGACCCTCAGACTGTTAAGTCCACTGTTCTGAATGTGGCCTATGTCTTGACATTGAAAAAACATATGCCTTTAAATGGGTAGACAAGGATAAATTTACAATAAAACAAAAGTGATATCACAAAGTGCAGAATTTAAAGATGTGACACATTCAGAGTCATCACCTGTTTAACACTTACTTGCTATAAATATATTGTATTTCAACATTTTCTTCTTTTCAAGGGAAACGCATATAGTCTAATACTACAGACTTCTAAATCAGTTAAAAATAAAAGTTTGTTTAAGAACTAAAACAAGAGTCATAATGTAGTCAAATATTTCTTTGCCAATTACCTGCTTGATTCAAATTGTTTGGATATACCACAAATGTGGTCTCTGGTTTTCCATTGGCCACTTGTTCTGGGAAAACAAAAAAAATTTGAATTATGTTTCATTTACTAAAGTTTCAACTCACTACAAAAAAGGTAATATACATTCACATTTTCATCCTTACTACAGCAAGTAGAGAATGAGATAAATTTAAGATCCTGATTCAAAAAATTTAAAACATGACAGGTCCAAATGTGACTTCTAATTTATCAAATATCTGACACTGTAAGTGCTTACTTCTTTTAAGAATAATTATTCTAAATGTATATCTAACAAGTTATTTAATAATGTAATTGAATGGGAGAAGGTTATCTCCAACTGTAATATAAAATTCAAGGAACCATTAACAATCTAATTATAGCTATTTTTGTCATGTAAGTTTATGATAAAAGAGCATTTAAAAAAATTTTGTGGATGTGTTTTATCACTGGAAAAATCAAATAGCAATGGTAAAGCAAAGACAATATAAAAAGTATGAAATACAGAGGGGAAAAAAGGCATTTCCTTGCAAGAACCATCTTATAAATCTTCATACCTACCCAACTGTTCATCTGAATGGGAAAGTGATCTTGTTCGTGGCTGAATAGAGTTGTTTGTTTCAGACTCTCTACACCATTTATTTGTATTTGAATATGAGATCAGCTTTAGAAACACTACAGTGTATATGGCCAGTGTATTTGCACTGAAAACTAAATCACAAATAAGAGGTCTGTTAATGATTGGTTGTCATGAATGACTGTAATCACCATCATAAGGGATCTGTGAGCTAGCATTTGGCTGAAATTTAAAAATGGCAGAAAGCAGTACCCAAGTCTAGCAATAACATCATCAGTTCTTAGCTCCATGGAAAAAAAAGCTATCAAGCAAAATGCAACCTAGAAAGCAAGTAAGGATACAATCAGGTGATGATTTCCAAAGTTTGACAGCGATACCAACCTTAGAAGTAAGGAAGCAAATTCTAGGGGCAGTAAAAAAAGCAAAAACCAGTGCTGGAAAGCTAGGTTAAAAGGCTTACACCGATGTGTTGCATAGGTTATCTACTGATGATTAGGGAAGAGATTATTAGCGCATGCTTATAAATATGCACATCAGCTTCTAACCACGAGTAATACCTGCAGCATGATAAGAGACAGATCGCCCTCGCTGGAGACGGTATCTAGATTGTGCTCGTACTTCTCTGTCTTTTCGACACCACTTGTTTGTTAGACAGTATGATATAAGCTTGAGAAAGACCAAGGTATAGGCGGCCAGAGTGTTTGCTGAGAAAACTACAACACATAACATAAATGAGAAAATAAATCAATTTAACTGGATCTGCAAGCAGTTCTACAAAAATATTCATGAAGATTAGATATTAAATCTATTCAAATACTTTTGATCATTTGAACTAGATTTTATCTTTAGGTGTTCACACCTGAAGCTGTCAGCACTCTCAACTCACTCTATGCTGATGGTGATTTTTAAATCGATTATTACTCAATAAACACCATAGAGAGAATATATAGTGACTGCAGTAGACCAAGCCTGGACGAAATCAACAACCCTCTAAAAAGTAGCGATCTAATCTTCATGAATACTTTTCAATTTACATAACAAAAAATTACAAAAAAAAAAAAAAGAAAAGAAATATCTACATTATTATCCAAATAAAAAACCATACCAAAGAACACATAAAAACTTGACAATGATAATGATAATAATGAAAAACATATCACTGATATATTAGTAGTGTAATCTATCAATACATGATGTTATCATTGCTACACTAATAAACTAAGTGAAAAGCAAACTAACTCCAGTTAGATACATGTCACTAATTGACTGTCAGTAATTGGTACCAAAGCAATTAAAGAGACGCGTTAATGAAAAATGGTTACATCAATATATAAAAGGTCAATATACATAAAAGAATATAATATCGATTAGTTGAATACTCATCATTTAATGCAAACTCTTTTTACTGACAATAATGAATTTGTTTCTGTCATTTAAACTTTAGTTTTTTGTCACCATTACCTAGAAAGTGTAACAATTAGAAAATTTTCAATACTGTAACAACAGGTATATTGCTGAAGCCAATTTTTTTCTATTTTCACAGTGAGAAATATGATTTTCTTCAACATCCACTCTCTATTTCCATAATGAGAAATGCCAAAATTTCCTTCAATGTTGTAACAATTCCCAGTTACTTTCATAAGAAAACTTTAATTTTGTCTCATTCATAACTTTTTTCTTTTCATCAATTAATTGGCTAGGTAATGGTGCCTAAGTAATAAAATATCTTTAAAACTTTCCTAACTCACATGGCACGGGGTGCAAGTAGATGATCACTGCTGCAGGGAAGGTAAGGCAAATAAACAAGTTAATGCCATGAACAATAGCCCCAAGCCTCTCTGAAATTATACCCTGAAAATAAAGTTGTCATACATTATATAATTGTTCAGCAAGAAACAATCAAATTCAACTTGGTTCCTATTGAAATTAAAAGAAAAAAATTCCACATGAAGACAATACCAAGTATCAGATTCTGCAAAGAGAGAGACAACAAACAAGTCCATTAACATACTGATGACAAATATTTTAGAGAATATACTTACTATTGGTAGTGTTAGTATAAAACAAGTACCTTAGTTTTCTACATAGATAACTGACAACTCTAGCATCTCTAAATGAGGAAATAAAAGTGTAAAAAGCTCTTAATACTTCATTTTTCTCTATGGTGAGGTTATACAACTCAAACAGTCAGAGCCAGCTATAGGCTGCACTGAGTGCAAACCATCTACCTCCACTCACAAGGTGATTGTTCCAAAACCTGGCCAAAATATTTGTCTAAATGCCATAACATTTGCTGGCAGTAATGGAAAGAGGCTGGGTTGCTCCAGCATGCATTGAGTAATTTAAAGGTTCAGCGATGTTGTAAAGTTCTATTAATCTTGGCTTGTGAAGATTAAGCCCATACCTAACCTACCTTTGAGAGAGCCACTTCCAATGCAAAAGCAACCTGTATGAATACATTCACCACTGAAGAATAGAAATATCAAAATGGCAATACCAAATTTTATTGTAAAAGATGTATCACAGTTCATTAGTGTCTGCAAAAAATACATCAAATTATAGTGTCTGCAAAAAATATATCAAATTAAGCAAAAACCTAAGATAAAATTGAAATTCCACATATCTGGCAATTATTATTTTTTTAATAAATTCAAACTTGGTTTAAACTTTACAAAGCAAATTAATACCCCTGGCCAGTAATTTAGTGAACAGATAGTGTATAGAGAATACTTACATAAAACCAATAAAACACATGGCCAGCTATATGGTTCCCTCAGAAAGAGAGCTATCACTTGCAGTGGGTCCACCAATATACCATATCTGTAATGGCAAATGACAGGACTTAGACCACAAAAAGACAACATTCACTGGCTTTGCATATGCCCTTCATACTATAGTAAAAAACTTAGATAACTATTGCATTTTAAAATATATTTAGGTTGGACAATAACCAGTGCTTAATAGTAAAGAAATTCTCTGAATTGCTCAATAGTTTCAATTTTTATTTATTTATCTTCTACGTGTGCTTGTTTGGGGGATGGGGGATGCATTCCCTGCCTATCTCAACCATCTGATTTTAAGGCAAAAGTCTTAGAACAAATAGTCTATAAATTAATTATGCAACTTTTGAGAAATGTGTGACATTTTATATCTATACAATTAAATTCTTAAATGACCTATTGATTTTTATCCTTCAGAAGAAAGTGTCAGAAAAATTTAATGATACCAGCTGAAGAGGCAGAGCATCGATCACAGCTGCACACCATTACACCTAATACTTTAAAATTTTCTGCTTTCACAAAATGAAACCCACTTACTTGATTATATTTTCAAGGGCAACTCTTGCATTGGATAAAACCTAAAGATATAAAAGTTTGACGTTACATAAAAATAATCATGAATGAGCTAACACCAACTGTCTTAATTTTAATCTAATGTCAATTTGTGTATTTTACATTTTTCTACTATTTATTGATTAAATTTTGTTCCATTCATCTCTCCATTTATTCACACATCTTAGCTACCAAACTCAAAAAAACTTCAAACAATATTTACAATTTATTTTTTGCCACTCCACTACTTATTCAATAACAATAAACAGTCAAACAAAGTGATCATTCATGCATTGCCTTTCAGCAAACATTATAACTCTCCGTACATGACACAGGAGATCTATCATACATGCCACAGACAACCCTGAAAGCCTTAATTACCAACATTGTATGATATACAGTCCTCTGATGCTGATAATGATGCAAATTGGAGGGTGGACACTAGGTGGACACTAGGTGGTCACACGGGTCAACCAGGGTCAGAGGTGCTGTCAGCAGACCTCAGTGATGAAGCTGGCATCAACCTACATGCTGATGATTGTGTTTTTTGTTTTTTGTATGTTGGTTAGTCGAAAAAATACTGTTCAACTTATGGAACTTTGATATACATACAAGTTTTTTCACATGGAAATCCTGCACTGGGCATCTTTAAGGCTATTCCAAGGGTTTTTTATATAACTTTTTAAGGGGCTAACCCTCCCCAGCCAAAAATATTACTTTAAACATGTACAAAAGAGGAAAATCCTTGAAATATTCATGCTTGCACAAAAGTAAATGTTTCATGGGAGGGACAGGCCATTATTAATTGGCCACTATGGACACAAATGGTCAGTGGTGCAAATTGTAAGTGCACATGTACCGTCTTCATTCCCAACTTTTTATCAGTTTACAATGGTCATTTCCTCTGCTGTTCAGGAGTTCAATCTGATAAATTTATGCATACTATAAGTGCCTGCCCTGCTGTAGACATCATTATGTATGTTATCAATATATATGCATGTTATCAATGGGTAATATCTGGTTATGAAACCACTGCTCAGTAATTGCATTGCACTGAAAAATGTTGCTGGCCAGCAGAACCTTTTTATTTGTACATGGTAGAGTTGCCAACATTTAACAGTACTCAAAATGCTATTGCCTTCCATCAGTGATGCACACATTTGGGGTAATTTTTGTATCACTGTTTTATCTAGTAAGAGCTCATTAAAAAAAAAAAATTAATTTATTTTCATATTGGAGAGTACCTTAGTATAAAACAGCTAAAGTAAAGGAGCAAGTGAAGATTATGCAAATACTACACGTGTCACCGATTTGACTAAAATACTCACTTTTTGGGGAATGACCCTTATTTAAACTTTGTAAATTTATAAACCGCTGGCCTAAGATGCTGCTCTGTGACTTGCATTAATAATATCCTAAGCTTTTTTCCTCACTGCCTTTGATCATAATATAAGCAACACATACTGGCTGCTCTGAAAAACTGTTACCTTAAATTATGCTAAAATCACTATAATTTGGTATTATTCAGGTGAGTTGGCAACATTTTTCATCACTAGGAAAATCGAATTCCGATACTTGGTTTTATCTCTGATATCAACCATGTGGCATGTGCTGTTGAATTAACTCAATGCACTAATCAGAACAACATCCAAGCTGGAGTCACCCAGGAAAATGATTATATGTAATTTCAAATCAAATTAAACAACTTCCCTCATGCATTTTTATCATCTTTTACAATTAATACATCCCCCCCCAATCTCTCCCTCCAGCATCACTACAAAAAAGAAAACCCTTTCACAAACAGGAATCTAAAGTTGATAATCTCAAAGTCTTTCACAAGTTATCCATGTATTACATGACCTAGTCATTTTGTATCAACCAAGGTCAGCAAGTGGTCAGTGATGGAAAATAAACAGATACGAAATCAACCAAGGCCAAGATAAATGCAAATTCCAAGGCTAAATGTTCACTGTTTCATAAAAGCCCACTTTTCACAGTTAATTTTATCATACTAACACTGCAACAAGCTGAAATGATAAAGACAAATGCTTTCTCATTTTGAAACGATGGGCACTTCCTTAATCTTTTTTAATGTTTTGTATGCACTAACAAGGTACACTTATTTCTGTGCATGCTATGTGTACAAGAGAAGGGGATGGGGGGTGATTTAAATAGGTGAACAGTCCAGTTGTGGAAGTTTGACCATTTCACTTCAAGTAACTGCTTTGTTTTCTGAAAGTTTTGTCTAAAAAATCAGCAACAGTTACCTGCAGGTGAAAATATGGCATGCACCACCACCTTTCAGCTGGTGTACTTGCTCTGCCAGGTCTGGGCACCCACTTTTCTTTTTTTTTTTTTTTCTTTTTGTTCAACACTGACTTATATGCAACTGGTAAAACTATTCAATTCCACGTCATAATAGAATAAAGGCAGCAGGTGTGACATTTGTAGTGTACAAACAGATTTTAAAGAGGGTTTTATTACATCTGAGCGAGCTGCTTTTATACCAAACAAAACATCCTGTGATTTAAAAAAGGAAAAAAAAGCTGATAATGTACAGACACAAAACAGAAAATAACAATGCCAGTGTACAATTTTGCTACAATTTTACATATTGTGTAACAGCATAATCATCAATTTTTTTATTCTGTGCTACAGGTAGCATGGACATTGAGAAATAATAAATAGCATAGGACTTTAGGCACATGTGACTTCAAAGTCCTACAGTAAAAATGCCACTACAGCATGAGAAAATTAAAGAAAAAAATGCAAAATTTTTACAAGAAAGATCTAATCAGGCTGGTAGCCTGGTATTCCAACTCAATCCATATTTTAGTACTTAGATTCATTCTTGTAAGATTGAGCACAGTGAGTAAGCAATATAATTTTGTTTCCATAATCCTTACGATGACAGTGAACAAAATAAGGTTTTGTTAATTTAATGCAATATTTCATAATGCTTAACAGCATAATCACCACCGATTTTAATTATATGTGCTATTGTTAATGTGAATATTCACAAATAGACCCATTGAGGTATACAAATAACACTGCTTCAATTTAGGAACCACTCATTTGTGAACAAAATAAAGTGAACCAGAAAATTTACTTCAATTTTTTATCCAAACAGCAGATACTGAAGTTAAATAGGCCTTCAGTGCAAACTCCTTTTTTTTCCAAAACTTCCATCAAAACTAAAACTTTAACCTGATGAAAACAAAGTTTTTTAAAGCCCCACAATCAGAATCATTCACTGATCATGCACAGTGCACCATATATGCCAGCTGTGGAATATCTCCCAGGTCAAACAATTGGAAACAGCACTTCCACTAAAAACATAGTAAATATGGAGGAAAATTATAAAACATGTTACAGCAAGTTTACATAGAATAAAATAACTTAAGGCTGAGTACTAACATAGAATGAGGGTACATTAAAGCAACACAGTTGTTTTATTTATTTATTTATTTTTTTTTTTTTACAATTTTTTTTTAACAGCTAATACAAAATAAATCCAAAAAGCAAATTTATTGTTGCCTTGAGCAAATAAATCATACAAGTTTGCTACCTTGTCAAAACTCAAATTTGACAACATCATAATTGATTCATAATTATCAACTTCAAATGGCAACAGCTGCAAGGTTGACTAATTATAGCAAGTATAAATCGTTCTAGTCCTGCAACCTTGGAACAATGTCCAGCAGACAATGTAGCACAAATGATGCTATACAGTGTCAAATGATAGACATTACTGATAACTTACTCAACAAAAGTGCATACAAGGACATGAGAGAAGGTCATTTCTTCTTATCAGTGAAGACGAGACAAGACGACCATGGGATACTATCACGACCATGGGATACTATCACGTACAATGATTGTAAGTGCACATTTTGTTCACAAGTGCAGGGGTTGCTTAAAACTAAACAGTCTGGTTCTGATAACACTCAGACAACCTTGAAACTGTAATGCAGTCTGGACATCTCTTATGGCCTTGCCTTCACTTAACTAATCTGGGGATCAAATTCTCATCCCTTTTCATTTCCATAATATTCACAGATATATATTTTATTTTTCATGAAGACATTTAATTGTCTGTAACAATACTAGTAATCACTTCTTTTGCAAGAGCAAAAAAAAGTTTTTACATCATATTTTGATCTCCATTGTCCTTTGGAGTTCCCCACTCACATGCTCATGGATTCAAGCTTTTGTGCTTTGAAATTTTTTTTTAATTTTATTTTTTCAATTTGTCACAAAATTTCTGTTCGTTGACAAGCACAAAAATTAATAATTCTTCATTTACAACATGTAAGTTACTAAAAGAAACATCTACAGTATCCTACAAACACAATGATGTTGGACAATCATTTGACTAGATGATGACCAGTTAACATGTCAATATTGTCATAAAAAATAATGTTCATGCTTCACATGTTCTACTGCACAAAGGGTACACAAGCACTTTGACACAAATAATTTTTTTTCTAAGTGCATGTGTGCTTTTGCAAGTATGATGCTGGACAAAAAAAAATTAAAGATAAAGAGCAGAAAACTGATTGCAGGAAAAAGGAAGGAAGGAGGGCAGGACAGACAAACACAGACTGGAAGGGGTTGTATGCATTCATACGTATGTATATCAATACATATTTACACACATGTCATGTACATACCAGCAGAACTATGCACAGATTTAGAAGTCCTCTGAAGTTGGCAAACCCACTAGATGTACTGAATAGGGAGTCTGTGTGATGATGTATTCTGAAATAAAAAAAAAGTTTTCAAGTAAGTCACAGAATAATTTTTAGTGAATTGGCGATTCACAGCAAATTTATATGACAAAATAGATGCAAATTGAAATGCAAATTTTATGCTTCCAAGTTCTATTATTTTTATATTTTTTACTGTACTAGGGCAAAATGATTTGCCTGATTTTCAAAAATGTATTCCCGGCAAGCAGTCTGTAATTTTCCCTTGATTTAACCTTGATTTTAATAAACCTTTGTACAAACAAGCTTTTAGTTTTAGCGAAAGATGCTGTTTACAAGATTCCCATATTCAAATAACTTGCAGCACATAGCCTAAAAATGGTAAAGGCACACCTGTTGGAAGCGAAGGGAAAGGGGGGGGTCCTAAGAAGCCAGGTTTTACAATAAAACCTGCCCCAACCTATAGCTACTTTCACACTCAGTATCCTAACAGACCCACACTGACTTCACTTATCACTGCACAATACACTTCTCACTAGTCACACTTTTGGCTTCTTTAAAAGATTCAGATGAAGTACAGTACAAGGTATAGGCTCATGGACCAGACATGAAGCCAGGGATATTATGATTGGGAAGTTCAACAGTCTTTGGAACTGCTTTTGACAAAAAAAATTAGCTTATTTACTAGTACTAGTAAATCAGTAATATTTTGTCTTTTAAGATTATAACTTTTTTTATACAAGTCAGTTCCAAATGAGTGTCAAAATAGATATACAACTTGCCTCCATCAAAATGTTAACTTTTTGACAATATTCTTAACAGACTTTGTTAATATAAATTTAGCCTTTCAATCCCTCCACGTAAACATCAAACAATTTGTAGTGTTCAAGGTGATGGAGTCAGTGTTATGCAAGGTTACTCCTGTAAAGACGCATCAGTCCATGCAATAATTTCAGACATAAAAAAAGAGTCAAAGCATGCTTTTGTAACAATAATAATAGCTCTAGAATATTTTGTAACTTCGGGAATTTAAAATAATTTTTCTTCTACAATGCACTCTCATCTAAACAGTGTTATGTTGTGCTACTTGATCTCATGGGTAGTGATAAAATCATGTAGTATTATTGGTTGCCACAATTAAGCACTAAAAATGAAAAAAATTGCATGACAGTACTAGTATGACTTTTTGCTCTACTGACCATGCTCTGTCCTTGGACATCCTCATCTATTAAAGTCATACTTACTGTGCACCTTTTTCTTGTCAAGTAACCAGATAGAATTAGTTTAGAAAAAAAAAACTCGTTTCAAAACAATTAACTTCATGTCTTGGCCCTGTATTATGTAACATACAATTTTTCTCATTTCAGGTTGGGGGATGGCTATGGTTTGGGCCATGCAAGAAGAAATTATAATAAAGTATTCCTATGATAAACTTTTTAAAGGGGCTCTACCTACTTTGAGGTTTGAGTTGGGAAAGAAAGGAGATTTGCAAGATAAAAATATGACTGTGGGGCATTTCCATGGGTATCCAGGATATTTTTTTAGTACCTAATACTTCAAAATTAATGCATAATGCAGTTGGCACCTTCAGGAAACAGAAGGCAAAATTTACAGCTGTTTTAGACATTTCATCTATTCTTGATGCAAATAATAATAAAGTGGACTGCTTACACATCTTTGCGTTTGACACCCTGTTCCATCACATACTCTGGTGCATGCCACCAGCTAAAAAACTTCTCTTTGAGACCTGGTGTCAGCGGTTTCCTTTCGACCTCATTATCATAGTCTGTAATTATCGCTTTCTTCACGGCAGCAGCGTCATGTTCCTGACATTTTCTATGAAGCACGTTAGATTTAATCTCCCCGTTGTGTCCTGCATCGTGCGCCTTGCGTGCAACTATATCCCCAACTTTTGCAATCTTTCTATTTCTATGCTGAACAGAAAAGTCATTGTTTGCTCTGTCAGAAATATTTTCTTTGCTTGCACTTTCATAAGTGTCTCCTATTCGTTCCTGTGCATCGAGGAGTTCAGTTTCAGCTACCATTTCCTTTTAATCTGTGCAACTCGCGTAGTAAGAATTTTCAGCACACTGCAGCAATACACAGCATAATATACCAACTCGGCTAGTGCTCGTACCATGTAAACTTCCACATGACAAGTGAATGCTTTTTGTTAAGACACACGTGAAATCACCATGATGTAAATAAGCGGATTATCCAATCAGAAAAAACTTTTGAGTAAAAACAGGTCAAGGCTGGTCAAGGTCATGTTGGGTACACGGAAAGACGTTGGAGTGATTGATAAAATGTGTGTTTTGTGAATTAGCTATAAGTTCGATGGTCTATTTTTCAAAGTCTATGGAATCCTGGCAGTACTTACGGTCTATCAGGCCGGACGGATCGCAATTTTCTTTCTTCCTCCACAGCTTCTTCAGCTTTATTATAACTTTTTGCCCTCCGGAGCCGCGGCTTGGTAGCCATGTTGTTTCTTGTTGTGACAGGTGCGACAAATGAGCACAATCACCAAAGGTCTGCGCATGTGTGCTAGGGCTAGAGGGAAACAAAGAAACGTTTTCGTTTCATTCCGCGTGTCACAACCTCCACCCACCCCCCCTCCCTCTACAGAAGGATTTTCCATTCGGATCAGTAAATTAAGAACGAAAGTGCAAATAGGCGTGTATTAAAATCCCTAGAATATATTACTTTGTGAAATAAATTGATAAAAAAATATATGGGCGACAATTCACAGCGGCCAACGGCCTACATGTACTTTGGCTATTTTCCATCAATTCTTTGACGGACACCATCATGTCGAGACAGGACAAACGCCAGTATATTACCGCTGATGAAAAAAGTTGTTTTTAGCATTTGTCAAAGCCAGTATTTAATTCTACAATTATATAAAATAACAAATCATACTGATTAGTAGATGAAGAGCAGCAAAAATGCAATGCGCGAGCACTTAAACGCTTTCGCAACACTGAAATGCATTTAGAATGACTTTTAATTTACAGCGGCCGACGGCTTCCTACGTCTAACACATTTCCATCTTTCTGTTGTTATATAGGGACTTAAGAAAGCAGAATTTAACAGTGTCGTANTGGGGAAAAATGATTTGCCTGATTTTCAAAAATGTATTCCCGGCAAGCAGTCTGTAATTTTCCCTTGATTTAACCTTGATTTTAATAAACCTTTGTACAAACAAGCTTTTAGTTGATAGATGCTGTTTACAAGATTCCCATATTCAAATAACTTGCAGCACATAGCCTAAAAATGGTAAAGGCACACCTGTTGGAAGCGAAGGGAAAGGGGGGGGGGTCCTAAGAAGCCAGGTTTTACACTAAAACCTGCCCCAACCTAGCTACTTTCACACTCAGTATCCTAACAGACCCACACTGACTTCACTTATCACTGCACAATACACTTCTCACTAGTCACACTTTTGGCTTCTTTAAAAGATTCAGATGAAGTACAGTACAAGGTATAGGCTCATGGACCAGACATGAAGCCAGGGATTTTATGATTGGGAAGTTCAACAGTCTTTGGAACTGCTTTTGACAAAAAAAAATTAGCTTATTTACTAGTACTAGTAAATCAGTAATATTTTGTCTTTTAAGATTATAACTTTTTTTATACAAGTCAGTTCCAAATGAGTGTCAAAATAGATATACAACTTGCCTCCATCAAAATGTTAACTTTTTGACAATATTCTTAACAGACTTTTGTTAATATAAATTTAGCCTTTCAATCCCTCCACGTAAACATCAAACAATTTTTAATGTTCAAGGTGATGGAATCAGTGTTATGCAAGGTTACTCCTGTAAAGATGCATCAGTCCATGCAATAATTTCAGACATAAAAAAAGAGTCGAAGCATGCTTTTGTAAACAATAATAATAGCTCTAGAATATTTTGTAACTTTGGGAATTTAAAATCATTTTTCTTATACCATGCACTCTCATCTAAACATTGTTATGTTGTGCCACTTGATCTCATGGGTAGTGATAAAATCATGTAGTATTATTGGGTGCCACAATAAAGCACTAAAAGTGAAAAAAAATTGCATGACAGAACTAGTATGACTTTTTGCTCTACTGACCATGCTCTGTCCTTGATCATCCTCATCTATTTAAGTCATACTTACTGTGCACCTTTTTCTTGTCAAATAACCAGATAGAATTAGTTTAGAAAAAAAACTAGTTTCAAAACAATTAACTTCATGTCTTGGTCCTGTATTATGTAACATACAATTTTTCTCATTTCAGGTTGGGGGATGGCTATGGTTTGGGCCATGCAAGAAGAAATTATAATAAAGTATTCCTATGATAAACTTTTTAAAGGGGCTCTACCTACTTTGAGGTTTGAGCTGGGAAAGAAAGGAGATTTGCAAGATAAAAATATGACTGTGGGGCATTTCCATGGGTATCCAGGATACTTTTTTAGTACCTAATACTTCAAAATTAATGCATAATGCAGTTGGCACCTTCAGGAAACAGAAGGCAAAATTTACAGCTGTTTTAGACATTTCATCTATTCTTGATGCAAATAATAATAAAGTGGACTGCTTACACATCTTTGCGTTTGACACCCTGTTCCATCACATACTCTGGTGCATGCCACCAGCTAAACAACTTCTCTTTGAGACCCGGTGTCAGCGGTTTCCTTTCGACCTCATTATCATAGTCTGTAATTATCGCTTTCTTCACGGCAGCAGCGTCATGTTCCTGACATTTTCTATGAAGCACGTTAGATTTAATCTCCCCGTTGTGCCCTGCATCGTGCGCCTTGCGTGCAATTATATCCCCAACTTTTGCAATCTTTCTATTTCTATACTGAACAGAAAAGTCATTGTTTGCTTTGTCAGAAATATTTTCTTTGCTTGCACTTTCATAAGTGTCTCCTATTCGTTCCTGTGCATCGAGGAGTTCAGTTTCAGCTACCATTTCCTTTCAATCTGTGCAACTCGCGTAGTAAGAATTTTCAGCACACTGCAGCAATACACAGCATAATATACCAACTCGGCTAGTGCTCGTACCATGTAAACTTCCACATGACAAGTGAATGCTTTTTGTTACGACACACGTGAAATCACCATGATGTAAATAAGCGGATTATCCAATCAGAAAAAACTTTTGAGTAAAAACAGGTCAAGGCTGGTCAAGGTCATGTTGGGTACACGGAAAGACGTTGGAGTGATTGATAAAATGTGTGTTTTGTGAATTAGCTATCAGTTCGATGGTCTATTTTTCAAAGTCTATGGAATCCTGGCAGTACTTACGGTCTATCAGGCCGGACGGATCGCAATTTTCTTTCTTCCTCCACAGCTTCTTCAGCTTTATTATAACTTTTTGCCCTCCGGAGCCGCGGCTTGGTAGCCATGTTGTTTCTTGTTGTGACAGGTGCGACAAATGAGCACAATCACCAAAGGTCTGCGCATGTGTGCTAGGGCTAGAGGGAAACAAAGAAACGTTTTCGTTTCATTCCGCGTGTCACAACCTCCACCCCCCCCCCCTCCCTCTACAGAAGGATCTTCCATTCCGATCAGTAAATTAAGAACGAAAGTGCAAATAGGCGTGTATTAAAATCCCTAGAATATATTACTTTGTGAAATAAATTGATTAAAAATATATGGCCGACAATTCACAGCGGCCAACGGCCTACGTAGGCTATGCTATTTTCCATCAATTCTTTGACGGACACCATCATGTCGAGACAGGACAAACGCCAGTATATTACCGCTGATGAAAAAAGTTGTTTTTAGCATTTGTTAAAGCCAGTATTTAATTCTACAATTATATAAAATAACAAATCATAGGCCTACTGATTAGTAGATGAAGAGCAGCAAAAGTGCAATGCGCGCGCACTTAAACGCTTTCGCAACACTGAAATGCATTTAGAACGACTTTTAATTTACAGCGGCCGACGGCTTCCTACGTCTAACACATTTCCATCTTTCTGTTGTTATATAGGGACTTAAGAAAGCAGAATTTAACAGTGTCGTAGCCTACTGTATCGTCCCATATTACATATAGATATTATAAATGATCGAATTTAATTGAGAATGACATTTTAAAAAAACTTCCGTCCTGTTTATATCATCGACAGACCTTGTTCAACTTAAAATGAATGGTGCAAACTAAAGCAATGATGGTTTGAATAAAAATGTTTGGCATATCAGGTATACAATATCTTGCGCTTGTGTTATGGCGTGGTAAATTATATATTTAAAGATGCACAGAATAATATTTTCCCATCAATAACTCATACTTAACAAGTTTTCCTGGGATAAACGGCATTTTCTACTATCAACTGACCTCCTTTCCTTACACAGTAAAAATCTGGGAAATTTAAAAAGGCGTTTTCTTTACTATACCTTGATCAGTGATTCGATCAATGGGTAAACAAACAAACAAACAAACACACACATAAAAGATATAAACTGTAAGGGGTGCAATGGCGACCCCCTAAGGTGGGAATAAAGCTGTTTGGAAATCCACGACCCTTGTTGCTCACTTTTTCTCGATCGGTGAATACAAAATCGAACCTTACACTATGTCGCAGACCATATTAAAATCCAGCCATATTTTTAATCAGCCTTTTCGAGATGTGTGTTCGTAAGACTCAATTCTAGGAAATGGGACAGGCATTATAGAGCACATATTCTTTTCACATCGTCGTCGTTTTGTACAAGTTGTGGTGAGGGTTTTTATTCAAGTCGGCAAGAGCTAATTGTGATCATTACATTGTCACCATCAATTATCTATTTTACTCAAAGTTTATACGCAATCAACACGTTTTATTCAGGATTTACAAATAACAGGGTATAAAGCGAAATGAAACTAGTTGGGAAAAATGAAAACCTGAACCGAAAAATGTACAGAATTGAAAACAGTTCGTCTGGAAATACATTTTTGTGGCAACGATGGGATGAAAGTCAGGGCGGAGAAATGACACATATGCCAATTTTTAAGTATCTATACATGCGCAAACGATGTTTCAAGGTGTAATACTACAATGTTAATCTGTGAAAACTACAAGACGAGAAGCGTCATGAAGGAGAACGGCGTTTCCTTCCTTTGGCAGTTTCCTGAGGCAGGTTATCATACATGTACACGTTAAGTATTTATATTTTTCGCAAACATTTGAAAACGCATATGACTGAAAAATAAAGCGTAAATGCACGATATATCATATATTGTGACTGCATCTTAAGATTTCCACTTATACCGCCCCTGCTCGTATTTTTGTAAAAAATGGCATTGATTTTCCTTCAAAGTTGCTCTATGAGCAGAATTTGTTATTAAAGAGGTCTCTTCTAACATTCTTATTCCCTTGCCTGTAATCATGAAACCGATTTATGTCACAAATTTCACCAAGTTAAAAAAGGGCAAAAAATTCTTAGAAAAGTTCATTAAAACAAACATACTTATAAAGTTTGGCAAATCCAAATAAGTTTCAATCAGATTAAGCGATAATCAATAAGGTCAGGCAGCTTTAAGTAAGTTCTGGGAAATGTAAGCTACTCCCGGCGTATACTGGGCATCTCAGGCCCTCTCCCCACGAATTCGTCGCGCCAACTGAATGTCCTTAGGCATGATGGTCACTCTCTTGGCGTGGATGGCGCACAGGTTGGTGTCCTCGAACAAGCCGACCAAGTAAGCCTCGGCAGCTTCTTGTAAAGCCAAAACGGCAGAACTCTGAAATCGGAGATCAGTCTTGAAATCCTGAAATGAAAACCCAAACTATGAGAAACTGCCACATTGTTTATTTTTCAGATTTACCCTAAACAAGATAGGATTTGAAAATATGCCACACAGGTGAGGTTGGACTGCCATAGGTAAGATAAAGATGTGACGTTCAAGACCCTGTTTCCATACTAAGATCGATCAAGCAGGAGCGACCCATCTCTTAAGCGGCTCTGATGTCTGGCACGCCTACTGAAGTTGTTAGGGGGTAATTAACTATCGTTAAGCTAGATCGATCTAGGTATGGGAATGGGGTCTTAGAGTAGGCCTTAAATTTTGACACCAGCTAGAGGGATAGGCCTACATGTATGAATATCACAGGCCTGAACCCCCTTTTAATACTGTTCTTAACGAGTCGACCATATTCAATTAATCTATACAAAGTGCATCTCTAATTTTTTAAGTCCCCTAACGCACCTGTGCGATTTCCCTGATAAGTCTTTGGAACGGCAGCTTTCTAATGAGAAGTTCCGTTGACTTCTGGTATCTGCGAATCTCTCTCAAGGCGACAGTGCCTGAAAATGTATGGAGTACTATGTTGAGATGACAAGTAGTCTGGAAGTTCCTGAGACACTATGGCGTATTCTGTACTTTGCATCAGAGTAAGTGTTCAATTCATCCCGATTTGGTTGAATGGATAAAGGGGAATCTGTCAATGCCGCAAAATCACCTTTATATTTGTAGCAGTTTCATCTGGATCAAGCCCAAAAATGCTGTGGCAATTGAAAAATTAATAAAACACAAGCTCTTGATATTGATGTAAACATTAATATTATCTAAAATAATGGGCCCCGGATTTTGATCACTTAAATAAAAATAATTTCTTACTGCATCTTAGTACTGCGCGACCAACCCCTTTGTTACCGATTCATCCTCGCGACAAGTCATCTTTTCCAAACATGCAGAAAATACAGAGAAGTTTGGACTCACCAGGTCTGTAACGATGTGGTTTCTTCACTCCCCCTGTCGCGGGAGCACTTTTCCTCGCCGCTTTAGTCGCCAGTTGTTTCCTAGGAGCTTTCCCGCCGGTAGATTTGCGGGCTGTCTGCTTTGTTCGAGCCATTGAGAAGACAGTTGCTGTAGTTGCCCCGGATCGCCCAAATATCTTGAATGATTTCACTCACTCCTGTCACATGACTGCCGGTGATGTCATAGGCTGGAATAGACTCGTCTGGTGTATAAAGAGTTTTTAGTTGATGTGTAGTTGCAACAAAAGTTGTCCACTGTATGCCACGTAGGCTACAAGAGTGCTATTATATCGAGGCGCAGCATATGCGTCCATTCACTCTGTGATGCATCCATGCAGCTAGCGTGCTTTACTATGGCAAAATTAAAGGAAATATCACTGCTTGTGGCAATTAATTTTTATAACATTCTTTGGTAATTTGTAGGTGTACATGTAGTTCTCCTAGTCAAGGGTTGTAGCTAGTTTTAGACAAATTTTAGTTTATTAAACATACTTGGAAGTCTATCGAACATTGTTTTATATTTCTTTTATATAACAAGGTTAAAATGAAGCATATACATTGAACTTTTTGCGGTAAAAAAGGTCCATCTTTTCGGACCCCCCACCCCCACCCTTTCAGATTGGTGGCTACGGGCCTGTAATGAAAATCTGACTCCCCATGAAATTTTGACTCCCCCAAAAAACTTAATTCATATATCTTAATTTATTTGAGTAAATGGCTTTAATCTTGTAGTAGCCTATGCATAATGGAGGATACATTTGCACTTTTTGTTAGTTTGCAGGTGAAAATGTTCATGAGAAAATAAGAAAATTAAAAATGTGTACTTTACCACCCACTGACTCCCCTATGAAAAAGCTATTTATTTGATATTTGGTGATCATTTCAACATCTTTCCTGCTATTCCCTTGCGGTGCATAAGATCACATCATCTAACTCGGAGGAAAATAATCAAAATGGAAATAAATTCTCTCGTGAAATATATTTAACCCACATAAAGGATATTGATTGATCCCCCCCCCCCCCCACCTTTTTTTAAACAATCTTTATCTTTTCACGCCATTATGTTCTTGCACTGTCTGTTGCACGTGACTAAACATTATCCTGTGCTGACCTATGACCTATGAACTATGAACAAATATGGCGGCGTCCAGGAAAGTAGCAGTCGCTTCGGTGTGCTTAGTATTATCCTTGATATTACTGCAATTTTACGTCACTTCTCTGCACAAAGAACTCAGAGCGAAGATTTTGAGAGCTCAAATAACGACATTTATGTCTGGATTAATTTCCCTGGCCTGCTGGTACCTTTACAGACGTTTACTTGCCGAAAATCACACCGTGCTTGCCTGTCCCAGTCGGTTGCTGTGGACGCTATGGAAGAGCGTTGTTATATGTTTCCTCCTGTGTGCACAGGTGACTTACGCCACAAACCTATTTTTCATCACCACTGATCCTCAGTGGATCGCCATGGTTTGCTATATATGTTTAGGTACACTTATCCAACTTGTATGCTGTCTTCTCGTGTGTGATTTAATCGAGATCGGACTGAGAGTGTTAAGGAGAGGTCGCCAGTATCAGCAGAACCAGATATCCCTTAAAGCTCAACAAACAAGAACCGTTGTGGCTATATTGATAGCTCTGATGTTATCAGCGCGTGGTTTGACAGTTGGCTTATCTCCACCGCCCCTTAAAAAGGTGACCATCCCAATGACCAAGCTCCCCAGGAGTTTTGATGGACTTACTGTAATACAGTTGTCAGATATACACCTTGGACCCACAGTGGGCAGGAGCCGCCTGCAGGACGTAGTGGACAGAGCAATGGCAACTAAACCTGGTAATACACCAGCTTACAGGGAGTTTTTTTTTTTTTTTTTAACTCTAAGGCTTTATCTTTATCACACTAAAATTTAGATACATATTTTATTTAAAACAAATGGGAGAAAAATATATTTTTTCCAAATGTAGGCCTTTTTACATTGTATTGAATCTTCTTAAAGCACAAATGAAATCTGACACAAGCACAAATATTGGGTCAACTTTTATTTCTGTATTTTTTATCTTTTATATTTGACACATTGATGTACTAATACACAGTTTTTCTTAGATCTGATATCTCTTTTTAGATGTCATTGTAATCGCTGGAGACTTGGTGGATTCAGTCGTTAAGAAGCTTGGAGAAGCAGCAGAGCCATTGAAACAATTACAGGCCCCATATGGTGTTTATTTTATTACAGGTATGGTAATTGAGTAAGGCAAACTTTTATGGAATTAAGTGACTGTTTAGAATCAAATTCAGTCTTTATCTTTCCACGCCATATGTCCTTGCACTGTCCGTTGCACGTGACTTTTCAGATGTGCATGTGTATTGTGAGGGTCAAAAGTGGTGGTTCAGTCGATCAAAGAAGGAGCTTTGTACGATAGTTTTAACTTTAATATATATCAATTCCCTGGATTGTACACTTATGCATAATAAAATGCCAACAACAGTTGTTGACACCATGTCATCATTGCTTGTCTTTTTGATGATGTAAGTTAACATATAACAAATGTAAGTCAAAAATTAATTGTTAGTAAAACTCAACATTACACAAAGGTAATTTTATATCATCGTTTAGTTTACACAAAAAAATATATAGGAACATATAAAGTGGAGAGTCCAGGGATGTCTTCCTTGAATGTCTGAAAAAAAAAAGTTCTGCTTAAATAACAATTTGTACTATTTATTAAAGATACATAACAAGGGTGGCGTAAAAAAAAAAAAAAAAAAAAACATAATCAAAATTTCAGTGACAGAGAAACCATACGTACAAGTGCTTAAAACAAGCATATAACTCGTGCTAGCCACTTTGCTTTATCAGTCTTTTGCAAAAAAAAAAGAGGCTCTTACTTATTAAAATTACTGTGCTGATTCACCAAAAACCTTGATAAAATTGAATTCTTTAGACATAATTATTTAATTTCTCCTCCTGTTCCATTCCAGGCAATCATGAGTATTACACTGGAGATGTGGATGCCTGGTTTGACAAGTTACGGTCTCTAAATGTGCAAGTTCTCCACAATGAAAAAGCAATTCTTCAAAACCATAAGCAACCAGAAGACACAATTTGTCTGGCAGGTGTTGATGATAACACTGCAGATTCCTTTGGGTAAATGATGGAACTGGACTCGAAATGTGGCTATTTTATGGACAAACACTATGTGTCTGGACATATAACCTTCACCTGTGTCTGTCATTGTCATCGGTGGCAACGCCATTGTCTGGTTGCTGTGCACTTTTCACTATTAATGTAATAAATGGATAACCATGTGACATATTACCCTTGAACTTTCCTGAGTCCTTCATAGCACCAAAATACAGGTCATGATTCTGTGGAAGCTATATTGGAGTATTTTTCTTAAAGTTATGCATTTTTTTTTTTTTTTATTCATATTGGTATTTTCAGGGAGTGACTTTGATCAGGGCTGTAGCCCTGTGTTAGTTACTTTTTCTGAATATCCAGAATGACAGAAGTACAAATTTATACTTTATTTATTGGTAATCATGCTGGTGATCACACTGCTTTCCCTAACATTGCACCAGCATTAACACAAACCATTGGGTGCACTGTCATTGTTAAATTCCTTCTTTAGCATTTTTAGATGGCCTTTGTGGCAATGTGTCCATCACTTTTATCATGCATTTATCAGTACAATGTATGTCCATATGTCAGCTTTTCTGCCTTTTTTTAAATGATTATAAATGGGTTATTAGAATCAATAATATTACTGGTTATCTCATTTATATTTATGTGATACAGGTAAAGTGACCTTTGGTGAGCCATATCCCATGAGTCGTAAATATTGATCTGCAGTGTGCCATATCCCATGATGTCATATCTTTAGATTGAAACAGCCAGTCAACTACACCATTTTTTTTATTAAATGATAAAATTGAATATCCATCTTTTGTTTTATATATCATTGTAAGTTATTTTTCAGATATGATGGCCATGGTGAACACCTGGACAAAGCTTTAGGGTCATGTGATCCAGATCAACCAATCATATTGCTGGCTCACAAACCATCATGTGCGAAGCGTGCTCTACAAAGCAAATACAATGTAAATCTGGTTCTCTCAGGTGAGATAAAATGAAATTTGGTTTTTCCCAGGAGATAATAATGAAGCTTGGTTGTCTCAGGTGAAATAAAAAGCGCAGTCTAGGTCTCAGGCTGTGTTCCACTCCTATGTGTATTTTGTATTTACTTAATTCCTTTTTACAACTTTCCTGTACAATGTACATGCATGTTAAGATAGATGTGTAGTTACAAATTCCGCATCCCCCTCTAAACCTGCACTGGAGCCTGCTGTGCTATTTTGTTTACAATTTGGGACCTGAGTTTGTCATATGACCATAATTCAGACTCATTGGTTGGCTTTAAGTCTATTAAACTGATTGGCTTAAAAGAAAAAAACCGTATCACATATTATTTTGAAACTTGCAGGTATAATTCATAGGACTAAAATAGAGCTCGACTTCTACAATTAGCTTCATTGGATTAGTTTTGTAGAAGTCATGTTTTTTTTTTTTTTTTTTTTTTTTTTTTTTTTTTTTTTTTTGTAAATAAGTTTAAATTTTTCCATGGTTTAAATTTAGGATTATTTTATGCTCCTTGTCAGCTTAACCTCATTGCTACAAGACAGCCCTATAATCAAAATTGTTATCAAAAATGTTTGTAATAATTTATAAATCCTGTTGGTTCTGACTGAAATTCATGTACCCTTAGTAAAAACTTGTATCCAAGTCTCCATTCATGATCTCTAGTTTTGATGCACTACTAATTTCTACTACTCAGTGAAGTACAAATGTTTTGAATTTGCAATTTTAGATGAACTGATACAGGTTTTAATTACTCAACTTTTTTTGTTCGTAAAAGAAATTAATGATATCTCTTTTATTTTTTCCAGGTCACACACATGGGGGTCAATTATTCCCTATGATAATAGCAGCATATTTAGTGAACCCGTATTATGTGGGCCTTTACCGCGTCAGTGACCACGCCCATGTTTATGTGTCCCCAGGGACCTTTTACTGGGGGATACCTATGAGAGTTTTCACAAGTATGGAGATTACACATATAACACTGCAAGCTACATGGTAGCCTATTAACAAATAAAAAACTTATTTTAATTGTTTTTTTTTTTCAGTGTATCAGTCCATATGGAGATTAAGGATATTACGTCATTTGTTGATTTTATGTGTCACTAAATTAAAAAATGTCTGGTGTATATTTTATTTAAATATTAGATGAATAAATTACTATTATAATCAGTAAAATCATTCTCATGGTTTAAGCCCATTGTGTGGTGAGTTTTCTTAATATAGATTCCCAACTCCAATAACATTTTCATCAAAAATAAGAGAAACCGTTCAGTACACTGACATTTCAGTTATGAGCCCTGATACTAAGTTTAGAAAACTTTAAAGTGTTGCTTGATTTAGGAGCATCATGGTTTGTTTCCATTGCGAAATAAAAGGTTATACCTCCAGTAAAATTGGTTCATGAATGCCAGCACTGCGATTTCATAGACGGATTTTTATCCAAGTCAGTTATTTCTATATGTGAGGGCTCGTCAATGAGCTACTGGCATTGAATAAAAACAATACAAGACTACAAGGTGACCGTCTTAAGAATGGGTCATTAAAGAGCGTTTTCATACATTCACTGCATTTTATCTCTGTTGTAGTGACTGTGTGACGTTTAAAATTGGATTTCTCCACCAAAACGAATAACCTGTTAGTATCCTCGAGACATGGATTATTATCAAGAATTATTTTCATGAATTCCAGCCAATTAGTTTTTTATTCTATGCTGCAAACGGCCTAACACGATCAAGATATATGTAGTTATATGTTATACGTTATCAAATAATAAGAGCAACCAAATAGTGGATAATAAACGTGGTAATCACACACAATCACCTATTGTTAATACTTAAGTCACGGGAGACCAGGAAGTGACCTGAGGTCGTGGAGTGGCAATATTGAATAGTCTAAAAATTCAGAATGATCATTTTTAAAACATTGTGTAAAAAAAAACGTCCAGTAACCAGTTTACAGGGACTTGTTATGATCTGTGTGCATGCCGATTTTCAGTGTCAGTCAGTGTATCGAATGCTGAGTGTTAGGCTGTATTCCCAGAGCTTTTAGATCGATCTATCCCCGCGGGGAGTCTCACTAGATTACTGTCAGATAATCCGGCTTAAATGTCCGTCCCGCCTACTACAAGCTGTAAGGGGGTAATTAACTTTCGTGTCCGCCCGGCTGACAGCTATTTAGCGTGAACCCCGAGTTAGGTCGATCTAAAGTAGATCGATCTAATCTCTGGAAATGGGGTCTAAAACTGTACAACCAATAATTGCCCTTTTTCTTATATGCCTAGATAGAAGGCGCTGAGTTAGTATAGTGTCTAGTTTCCAGTTTCGTTTTTCAAAAACGAACCTGGCAACCAGAAACTAGTTACATACTTCAGAAACAATTTTGGCAAGCAGAAACTGGTGTCGTTTTTCAGAAACGAACCTGGTAACCAGAAACTAATGTTGTTAAAAAAAAAAAAAAAAAAAAAAAAAAAAAAAAAAACGATTCTGAGAAACCAGAAGGCGGAAGGGAACAAGAGTGAATAGAGGCAGGGGTGACCAAGATAAGCGTCTATCTCGACCAAGGTAACCCTTACCGTGGAGGCCGGGCAGGGTGGGCAGGAGGGTGTCATGGTCTCTTCTCGCCGTGCGGGGAGGACAAGATCTCTACAGCGCACAAGTCGGTCCCTGGGTGTGTCTCCTTGTTGAATGGTTGACTAACTTTGCTTTTATTTAATTAAAATAAAAAATTCTGGCAATTAAAACTAGTGTTGTCTTTCAAAAACGATTAGTTTCTAGAATTGTTAGAACATGTGTGTGTTTTCGGGGAGGGGAGGGGGGGCTTTCCCTTTGTTGTTTGGAGTATAGATTTTAATTTTATTGAATTTTTCCAAACAAATTTTTAACAAAAAGTGACTTAAAAACGATTCTGGCTAGTAGAAACCAGTGTCCTTTTTCGAAAAAAAAAAAAGAAAATGGCAACTAGTAACTAGTTTCCTTTTGTTACTAAAAGTTATGAAAAAATTAGTTCAAGTCGTAACATTTGAAAGACTTGGCAAGAAGTGATAATAGACAAAATGGATTTTTTTACAAATTGCACTTGCCAACTTTTTATCAAAGTTGACATTAGTGCTTTGTCTTCATAGAATTCCATCATAAACATTTCCGTCCAAATTCAGAGGATGTAACAATTTTAAAAATACAAAAATATGCTGTAAGCGCTATTCGTACACTAACGCACACGCGCATGTAAACGCACCTTGTCCTATGGCGTCGTGTTGATGTTTGCACAACAAATCGAACAGTAGTCAAAAATGCTTCATGTTCGAAAGATTCCTGTTTGTTTTGCCAATAAAATATTTTAATCTTGTTTTCTTTGCACTAAATCCGAAATGTACCATACCTGGTGTAATTGTGGATGAAAATTTACATTTGCAAAGCATGGGAATCAGGAGCGACATAAAGACATGGTTTATAAGATAATCCAGTCTTAACCAAATTCAGAGTAAAATATAATCAAAACTGAAAAGGTTACGCAAAAATCAGTGTACTTGAAGCTAAGATCTAATAAACGGATATTATGGTATATGGTATGGTATGGTATGGTATATTAGATCTTAGCTTGAAGTGACTTTTCACATTCACTTAAAATCAACTCTGGTCTGGAAATCGTCTAATTTATCTAAGGGAGGTTACATAAATACAAGTGTACCCCAAGGTAGTATACTTGGCCCGTTATTCTTTCTCATATATATAAATGACCTCCTCCTCTCTACCGATTGTTTCATCTATGCGGATGATACTTCCCTCTTTATGCCCTCGCGTCGGGGAGATGTCAATTCACACGCAAGTTAGGTCCAAACATTTAAATGTTATATATAATGCCTTTATCCAATCACAATTTGATTACTGTGACATCTTCTATCATAATTCGCTCCAGAAGAAATTATCGAAATTATCGTCTCTTCAATACCAAGCCGGCATAATAGTACTGGGAGCCTTACCTAGCTCTTGTACCTCCAAAATATTTGAACAACTAAATAGGATTTCTCTATTTGATAGAAGAAAAATGCACGCTCAAAAAATTATGTTTTCAGTTATGGCGAATTTGGTCCCCTCCTATGTTTCTGATATATTCCGCCCATTCAGAAACCCTTTTCCAATCATAATCCGAGAAAATAACAAAAGAGACTTTAAACTTCCTCCTAAATACCCCCGTACCTCAGTTAACCATTTTCTAATGTCTTCATGGGATCAACTCTCCTCCTCCACTAAATCTTTACCTTCAATCTCATCTTTCAAGAACTCGATAAAAAATCACCTCACTGCTGGGTCGCTTTCAACAACAACACTAAACTTGGACAGAAATCAAGAAAAAATTCTTAACAGAGCGAGGGTCGGGTGTCTATTTAGAGCAGAATTGTTTAAGCCCCCTTTACACTGGACGGCGTCCTTTCTGCGTCCAGCAGTACGGCCCCATTTGAGAGTTAAAAAATTATAATACTTTACGTGCCGACAACTGGCCGATCATTGAGCATTCATTCTGATACAAAATCAATGCTTGCGCCTCCTTTTTAATACCACAGCGTTGCCAAATTTCATGGTCGCAGAAAGGACGCAGAAAGGACGCCGTCCAGTGTAAAGGGGGTATTAGGCATAACTGGACTACTATTGACACACCACACTGCACCTGTGGTGCCCTTGAAACTCCTCTCCACTTCTTTTGCCCCTCACTCAATTTAAGGTACCCTCCCCTTTACCAAAAAGTAAATGAAATTCTACATGAAAGTAAGACCTCTTTTAAAACACAAAAAGAAAAGCTGTCCCTATTTCTCTACGGTCATGGATCTTTATCACCCACCCAAAATGAAATTATCTTCGAAACAGTTGCAAATTTTCTTCTCTAAAATTTTGTCATCACTTAATAGGTACTATCTCTTTTCTTCTTCTTTCTTTCTGTACTTAATTTGTGCTCCATAATATTTGAAGTTTTACATTACTCTGTATCCATTTGTTTTATTTATTTACTTATTTAATTTTGTGGAGAGCATATAATGCTTCCAGCGCCTTGCCTCCATTTCTTTCTTTTGAATAAACGTTGTTAAAAAAAAACTCTGGTTCTCGGTTTTAAGTGATGACACTAAGCACAAATAACACAACATGGGCATGCAGGACTGATATCTAATCAAGCTTGTCTTTCTCAATCACCCCTTGCTCCTGAAAAAAATTAAATGTATAAGAACATACAACAACTTTTATTAGAACGCTCCTCTGCATATTTTAGTCACGTTTCTCACTTTAAAAATGCAAACCAAACGACGTGTTTACATACACTTTGGTAGAATATCGAAAGTAGCGTTTAGAGGAACAAAATACTTAGAAATAACATTTTTAATCCATACATGTAATTCCGTTACATTGTAAATAAACAACTGACCAAACTGTAGGAATGGACTAGATAAGATAATAAATCTAATTTTAAAAAATCTATAGATTTTGTTTAAGAATAATTAACTGTTCACTATCTTTTTGAGCGAAATCGACAAAAGATGACGGTCTAAAAATTCATTGAATCATTTCAGAATACTCTTTACCTCCCAAAAATTGCGCTTTGAGGCAGCTCAAGTGATTGTGAAAGTACGGAATGCAAAGACTATAATTAATGCCAGTTCTACAGAAACATTTTAATGAACAAACGATATCTAAATGAAGTCTATTTCCCGTTTTTGTTTTACGACACTTCTGTTTTGTAACACAAGTCCTAAACGGCATATAAATGATCCCAATCCTGGGAATTTTTTGTAGCCAACTATAGGAACAGTTTTTTGTCATAAACGTAACAAAAATTTCCATTCTACTACTGAAATATTAAATTAATTTTTATTTCGGAGAAAAGAGACCGTAACACCCTGCACGGCTTCCACGGTACAGGTCTTTGTCGCGGTAGACGTTAATCTCTGGTCACCCCTTCCTCCATCCACTCTCGTTTCCTTCCGTAAAAACGATATTGGTTGCTCAGAATCGTTTTTGAAAAACGAAACTAGTTTCTAGTTGCCAGGTGCGTTTAAATAAAAACGACAATAGTTTCTGGTTGCCAGGCTCGTTTTTGAAAAACGAAACAGGAAACTAGACACGAGGCACGAGGCACTAACTTCAGCCCCCCCCCCCCTCCCCAGATAGATAGAAATAAATGTAGCCTAAAGCACAATGTTCCATCTTATCCGACTAGAAGTTCCACTTGATTTAATTCCTTAGAACTTGGATATTTTTAAAGGCGTAACACGTGCCTT